GGAGGCAGAGCAAGGCCGATCTCTGTGAGTTCAAGGCCACCTGTTCTACCTAGTGACTTCCAGGCCAGCTGGGGCTACAGGAGGGAGACCCTGTTTCAAAAAGACTAAAAAACATACAGTGGTCCAGTCCCCTTCCTGGGGTGCCCGGCTCTTCTCCCCAAGAAAATTAAAGAATTAGACTCACCTGACACATACTCAAAAATTGATGTGGGGTTGAAGAGATGGTTCAGTGGTTAAGAGCACTTACTCCTCTTGCAGAGGACCTGAGTTCAATTCCCAGCACCCATATGAGCTCACAACTGCCTGTAACTCCAACTCCAGGGAATCTGATGGCCCCTTTTTGCCTCTATGGGCCCCTGAGCTCACATGCACACACAGTCAAGTACACATAATTTAAAATAAGGTAAATCTTTTAAAAATGTAAAAACTGGTGTGAAATCTAGATGCTGGCCAAGAAAATAGGGCAGTGAGTAAAAGCACATATTTTATTTTTGAAATGGGGCCTGATGATGTAGCACCGTTGATAGAGTATCTAGCCCACATGAGGCCCGGGGATTGATCTGCAGCAACTCAAACTGGGTGTGGTGTAGCAACAGGACTATAATCCTAAAACTCAGGAGGTGGAGACAGGAGGATCAGAAGTTCAAGGTCATCCTTGGCTATATCCTAGTTTTGCAGCCAGCCTAAGCTACATGGGACCCTGTCTCAAACAAAACCAAACCAGGAAAGCCAGGAGGGTTATCACTCTGGGAAGGTGGCATGGAGCCCAGGCAGCTCGGTTTGCAGGACTATCTTTTTCCAGCTCACACTTTTTGTTTTTCCAAATGCTCTCAGAAGCTTGCAGGGGTCCAGCCTTTCTCAATTACTTGTTTTGTGGACTGTCTTAAGATCGGCCTCCTGGCGTGGTGTTCAATGGAGCCAGGGGCTTCCCTGCTCCCACATCTGTCTTGATCCAGACTGTGTGGCACAGGCTAGATTTCCCAAACTTGGCTAAGCACTTGAGTCACCAAAGTCACATGTTAGAATCAGATACCCAGGCTCTGAGTCCAGCCAAATAGAGCTCTCTGGGGGAGAATCTGTCGCTGTTTCCAGTGCCTTTCAACCACACCACCAGTGACCATTTCACAAGACATCGCTCATACCCCTGTGCATGCGTTGCCTTCCCCCAGGAGCCCCTCATTAGACCTGTAGTCTGTTTCCACAGCCCAACTCACACATATTACATACACACTTGTGGAGTTTTAAACTTCACTGTGTTTTACTCAGCCATTAAGAGCACTGGCTGCTCTTGCAGAGGACCCAGGTTTGATTCCCAGCACTTGCATGATGGGTAACAGCTGTTTGTAACTCCAGTTCCAGGGGATCCAACACCTTTTCTGACCTCTGCGGGCAATGCACGTCTGTGGTTCACTTACAGGTAAAACATACATATACCTAAAATTTTAAAATAAATAAAGAAAAAGATTTTTGCTGGACATGGTTGCACACGCCTTTAATCCCAGCACTTAGGAGGCAGAGGCAGGCGGATCTCTGTGAGTTCAAGGTTAGCCTGGTCTCCATAGTGAGGTCCAGGCCAGCTGGGGCTACAGGGAGACCCTTTCTCAAAAATGAGTTTTTAATAATTCTCCCCTGCCTTCCTCAACAGCAGAAATCCCTCCAGCCCCTGTGAGTTTTAAACAGGCCTCAGGTGGGTTTGGGACAGACGCTCTGAGGGAAGGGCACAGGGTAGCCTTCCCAGCAGTGGGATGGCCAGATCACAATGCCCAGATACATGTGGAATGGGATTTTGGACAATGTAGAATTTTCATTGTCTTCTTTCCTGATCCTTGAGGTTCAAAATTGTGACACCGCCTTACGGTAATGTCCTCTTAACGGGTCCCTTTCAGGTTGAACCATGATTCCGGTGACAGAGCTCCGCTACTTTGCGGACACACAGCCAGCGTACCGGATCCTGAAGCCATGGTGGGACGTGTTCACTGACTACATCTCCATTGTCATGCTGATGATCGCTGTCTTTGGGGGGACGTTGCAAGTCACCCAGGACAAGATGATCTGCCTGCCTTGTAAATGGGTCACCAAGGACTCCTGCAATGATTCATTCCGGAGCTGGGCGGCCACCAGCCCAGAGCCCACTTACCCTAACTCCACAATCATGCCGACCCCCGCCACAGGTCCCACAGGTATCAAGTATGACCTAGACCGCCACCAGTACAACTATGTGGACGCCGTGTGCTATGAGAACCGCCTGCACTGGTTTGCCAAGTACTTCCCCTACCTTGTACTCCTCCACACCCTCATCTTCCTGGCTTGCAGCAACTTCTGGTTCAAGTTCCCACGTACCAGCTCTAAGCTGGAGCACTTTGTGTCCATCCTGCTCAAGTGCTTTGACTCGCCTTGGACCACGAGGGCCCTGTCAGAGACAGTGGTGGAGGAGAGCGACCCCAAGCCAGCCTTCAGCAAGATGAATGGCTCCATGGACAAGAAGTCGTCGACAGTCAGTGAGGACGTGGAGGCCACTGTGCCCATGCTGCAGCGGACCAAGTCACGGATTGAGCAGGGCATCGTGGACCGTTCTGAGACAGGTGTTCTGGACAAGAAGGAGGGGGAGCAGGCCAAGGCCCTGTTTGAGAAGGTGAAGAAGTTTCGGACGCACGTGGAGGAGGGGGACATAGTGTACCGCCTCTACATGCGACAGACCATCATCAAGGTGATCAAGTTCATCCTCATTATCTGCTACACCGTGTATTATGTGCACAACATCAAGTTCGACGTGGACTGCACCGTGGACATCGAGAGCCTGACGGGCTACCGCACTTACCGGTGTGCTCACCCTCTGGCCACACTCTTCAAGATCTTGGCATCCTTCTACATCAGCCTGGTCATCTTCTATGGCCTCATCTGCATGTACACGCTGTGGTGGATGCTGCGGCGCTCCCTCAAGAAGTACTCGTTCGAGTCGATCCGAGAGGAGAGCAGCTACAGCGACATTCCTGATGTGAAGAACGACTTTGCCTTCATGCTGCACCTCATCGACCAGTACGACCCGCTCTACTCAAAGCGCTTCGCCGTCTTCCTGTCGGAAGTAAGTGAGAACAAATTGCGACAGCTGAACCTCAACAATGAGTGGACCCTAGACAAGCTTCGTCAGCGGCTCACCAAAAACGCACAGGATAAGCTTGAGCTGCACCTGTTCATGCTCAGTGGCATCCCTGACACCGTGTTTGACCTGGTTGAGTTGGAGGTCCTGAAACTGGAGCTGATCCCCGACGTGACCATCCCGCCCAGCATTGCCCAGCTCACGGGCCTCAAGGAGCTGTGGCTGTACCACACGGCAGCCAAGATTGAGGCTCCTGCCCTGGCCTTCCTACGAGAGAACCTGCGGGCACTGCACATCAAGTTCACTGACATCAAGGAAATCCCACTATGGATCTACAGCTTGAAGACACTGGAGGAGCTGCACCTGACCGGCAACCTGAGCGCCGAGAACAACCGCTACATCGTCATCGACGGGCTTCGGGAGCTCAAGCGACTCAAAGTGCTGCGACTCAAAAGCAACCTGAGCAAGCTGCCGCAGGTTGTCACAGACGTGGGCGTGCACCTGCAGAAGCTGTCCATTAACAACGAGGGCACCAAGCTCATTGTCCTCAACAGCCTCAAGAAGATGGTGAACCTGACAGAGCTGGAGCTGATCCGCTGTGACCTGGAGCGCATCCCCCACTCCATCTTCAGCCTCCACAACCTGCAGGAGATTGACCTCAAGGACAACAACCTCAAGACCATCGAGGAGATCATCAGCTTCCAGCATCTGCACCGCCTCACCTGCCTTAAGCTGTGGTACAACCACATCGCCTACATACCCATCCAGATCGGCAACCTCACCAACCTCGAGCGCCTCTACCTGAACCGCAACAAGATCGAGAAGATCCCTACCCAGCTCTTCTACTGCCGCAAGCTGCGCTACCTGGACCTCAGCCACAACAATCTGACCTTCCTCCCTGCTGACATCGGCCTCCTGCAGACCCTCCAGAACCTGGCCGTCACGGCCAATAGGGTGAGTGGCCTGCCACGGCGAGGCACGTGGGCTGGCGTGGCCCTCCCTGGCTGCTCACACCTGGTGTCTTAGGACAGTTGAAGTCCTCACTGTGGTTTCCAGAACCACGAGGATGGGTGCTTGTTCAGGGTAGTCAGCAAGAGAGGTTGTTGGGAGGCCCGGTGGTCTCCATAGCTCCCACGTTGCTCATGTGCCTCTCCCCTCTGCATTGAGGGTAGTGACGGGCAGAGTTTGGCTCAGACAGACGGCTTGTCACTACCTGCCTTTCTGTTGAGGAAACTGTGCCAGCCATTTGTCTAGATGGAAAGTCCCTACCCAAGAGGCCCCTTGGTGAAGACAGGTAGGCTGGGTTGAGGGCAGTCTGTGGTTTGTGGCCTGACCTCCCCGTGGAAACTAAGCTTCAACCACTGAGGGAGGAGAGGTTCCACCGTCCTGGAGGCCTAGAGGACCTTCCTGGCCCTCCCTCTTAGGTGGAGTTTTCCTGTAAAAGGTGTGGGGCCTGAGGTCAGGGATCAAAATGCAGAGAGGAGACAGAGCCAATCCAGCCACCTCTGCCTCCATTGCAGCATGATCCTAAAGCAGCCCCTGCTGGCTGCCCACTACCAGTCCTGAGCAGGTGTGTAGGGCCTGAGCAAGTGTATCTGTCCAGCCTCCTTCTACCACCTCTTTCCACCAGCACGTGACACACCTCCTCCAAATCCCTCTGGTGATGGCTTAGAAGCTTCCTTCCTCTGTCCCTGAAGCACCTTTACCTGCCTCCTCCATGTCAGAAGAATTGGGACAAATCTTTACTCCCTTCCCCCAGTTATGACTTAAGCTTTTTTTTTTTGGTCTTTTTGAGACAGGGTCTCCCTGTAGCCCCAGCTGTCCTGGAACTCACTATGTACACCAGGCTGGCCTTGAACTCACAGAGATCCGCCTGCCTCCCAAGTGCTGGGATTAAAGGCATGCGTCACCGCACCTGGCGACTTATGCATATTTGAGAGTATTTTGAGAGTATTCAAGATTGAGGGTCCAATCTCAGGGTTATTTTTGATACATGGGACCCACTGAAGAGGGGAGCTGGAGTCCCATGGAGAAAAAAATGTTTGAGAACCACTGGACAGACCAACCCCTTCTTTAATGTGAGGAAGGGGACACCAAGTGGCACAGTGTGGAAGCCGGGTTACCCCAGGGAGTTGGGGCCAATTGCATCCTACACCCTGAAATGCCTACTGTGCCCCAGGGATGGGCTGGCTCTCCTGCTGGGTGCAGGAGGGTGCTGGCAGGTTCCAGCCTTACTTCATCCTGTCCCCCACACCAGGCTTGCTTGTTAGTGTCATGCTTGTTGACTGAGGTCACCCCTCAGGAAAGGAGCTGGTGGAGGCTGTCCTGTCCAGGAGGAAGGAGACCCTCTGACACCCTGTTTAGCGTACTGCTTAATCACATCCTGTCCCCACCCTAGGAGCACCAGAGGCCTTTATAGGGAAAAAAGTTTGCTTGGACCAACCCCAGGCAGGCCCCTCCTTTTAGGCAGAGACTGGGCACCCCTCTTTCCTACTCCTTGGCTCCTTTTGAGCCCTTGGACTTTGGTGGGCAGGGTGGAGCTGGAGGGACTCCTGTTTTCCCAGATTTACACTAGAGCTACTAAATGCCTCCACAAGGCAGGTATTCATTCCTCACTCACCGGTTCCATTCTGAACACGCCTAGAATCTAAATGTGGAGCAGGATGCTCGTCCTGGGGATGGTGGAGATCCATAAAGAACCAGGCAGTTAGCACAGCGAGGAGGCTGGAACTCCATGGGGAACAAAGGCTGGTCTCCTAGAGGAAGGGGCGTGTCACCTGTATCTGAAGGGCTAGGAAGCCATGGCCCACAGAAGAGGAAAGGAAGCCTAGGCTCCTGGCTGTGCACTACCCTGAGGGCAGAGGTGGGACCCTGCCCATGGCTGCTGAGAGGCTGCTCTTCTCCACTTGAGGTCCAGTGTCTCTGCATTTGTTTAATGTCTGGACACCTTGCCAGCCCACATGTGACTCCTGCAAGGACTTTGACTCTTTTGTTCAGTGCCTGACAAATAGCACAGTTACCAGGAATCTTGGTAATGGGGATGAGGGATGAGCTGGTGTACCATTGTAGCAAGGTTACATTTTATTTTGTTGGGTGCTAGGGATCTGGCCTAGTTTGTTCTTCATTGCTGTGACAAAATACTCTGACCAATACCAACTTGGGGAGGAAAGGGTTTATTTAGCTTGCATCTCCCAGGTCATAGTTCATCAGGGAGCCCAAGGTAGGAACTCAGGGCAGGAACCTGGAGGCAGGAGCTGGAGCACAGGCCATGGAGGAATGCTGCTTACTGGCTTGCTCCCCTGGCCCCTGCTCAGCATGCTTTCTTATCCAACACAGACCCACCTGCCCAGGGGTGGCACCACCCACAGTGGGCTGGGCCCTCCCACATCACTCATCAAGAAGATGCCCCTCAGACATGGCCACAGGCCAGTCCAATAGAGGCAATTCCCCAATTGAGGCTCCCTCAACCCAGGTGTGTCAAGTTGACACTAAAGCTATCCAGCACAGGATCAAACCCAGAGCCTCACACATTGCCAAACATCCACTCTCTGCCACTGAGCTAGACTCCCAGGCACTGGGGGTAGGGGAGAAGGGGTGGTTTGAGAGGCAGGGTGAACAATGAGGTAGGAATTTGACCCAGCCAAGGCCATCAGGGACTGAGACTTTGGAGGTGGAATCCTGGGTCATGGGAGTTGGGGAGGAGCTTCTGACGAACTCAGGTTTTTTATTTACTGAGGCAGGAGGCATAGGTATTCAGAGGGGCAATGTGAGTTGCACTCTGTGTTAGGCCCACAGTGAATCAGCCTGAAACTTGAAGAGCTACCCTTACTGTGTTCCTGGTTACCCAGGTGTTCTAGTTTGTTTCTCCATTGCTGTGACAAAATACTCTGACCACTACCAACTTGGGGAGGAAAGGGTTTGTCTTACACACCCCCCAACCCCCACCCATGAGGGATTGTACCCTGCAACTGTGAGCCGAAGCAAACCCTTCTCCCTGTCCTGGTTTGTTTCTTCATGCTGTGACAAAACACTCTGACCACTACCAACTTGGGGAGGAAAGGGTTTATTCAGCTTACAACTCCCAGGTCGCAGTTCATCAGTGGGCCCAAGGTAGGAACTCAGGGCAGGAACCTGGAGGCAGTAGCTGGGGCACAGGCCATGGAGGAACGCTGCTTACTGGCTTGCTCCTCTGGCCCCTGCTCAGCCCGCTTTCTTTCACAACACAGGCCCATCTGCCCAGGGGTGGCACCACCCACAGTGGGCTGGGCCCTCCCACATCACTCAACAGTCAAGAAGATGCCCCACAGACATGGCCACAGGCCAGTCCTATGGAGGCAATTCCCCAATTGAGGCTCCCTCAACCCAGGTGTGTCAAGTTGACACTAAAGCTGTCCAGCACACCAGGTGAGGGGAGAGGGAAAAGGGATCTTTGGGATGGAAGAGGACGGTCGGGTTGGAGCATGTGGCTCTTTATGCATGAGGAGTCAGTGAAAGGACAGATTTGAGTCTAGCTGGTGACTGCCAGAGTCAAGGGTGGTCAGAAGGGCAGAGACTGGCTTATGCGAGCTGAGTCAGTAGTCCCTTCCAGATGGTTGGCCAGGAAGGTCACAGAGCCATGCAGCGGAGGAGCAGCCCAGATCTCCTTCCTCAAAGTCCAGGTAGACCTGAGGCCATTTCCGAGCTGATCCAGGAGCTCCTGAGAGCTGAGGAGTCAGGAGAGGTGGGATTGGGATGGTGAAAAACTTAGCTTTCCAAGGATCAGGGACACTTGGGAGGGAAGAACAGGCTTAAAGGACAGGTTTGGCTGTGGACAGATCAAGCTCCATTTTTCTCTGAGGCCCAGGAATGCTCACAGCAGAATGAGCCAGAGGACAGGGTGTTTCTGGGGAGCGGGGCTTCAAGGAGGGAATCTCTGAGGCTGCTGGACTGACTCTAAGTGACCAGCTTCTCCATCCACTGGCCAGCGCCTTTTCCACTGTCCTTGACTTTGTGTCATCAGAGATGGGTTGGGGGCTATTCTGGGAAGGCTCAGGCTCCTGGGTCCTGCAGAGCTCACTTTCCATCTGCCCATGACCTCCATGTTCCTGAACTTCAGACCCTGAAACCACCTCACCCCATTTCTGACCCCTGGCTACAGCAGAGGCAGTTTTGGATACCCCAGTCAGATGTCTCCTTGAACACATCACAGTGACCGTCATGGTGTAGAAGGCTGAGTTGCTCACTGGGACCTAGAACCTGTGTGGTTGAGGTTAAAGGTCCTGAGGCTGGAGTGTCAGAGCTGAGAGGTATTTCTAGTCCAATCCTTGTGTTTTCAGAAAGGAGCAACTGAGGCCCAGGAAGGAAGAGGCTTCCATTCATCCTCAAGATTTTGTAGCCATGCAGCCTCAAACAGGGTGTGCTTCCTTTCTCCAGGCCTCAGTCTCCTCAGCAGAAGAATGGGAACAGTGATGAGCCCCTGAGAGGGGTCACTATGCAGCCCCACCTTGTCCCTGCTTGGGACTAGGGTCCAGGCCTCCCCTCCTGCCCTGTGCCCATCCTTCTGAAAGAGGTGCAGAAAGGACCCCTGTCTCTAGCTGAAGGCAGAGGAGAGGCTGGCACTTCTGAGGGCTCTCCCTACATGCCAGGAAGCCCTATCATTTTGCACCTTGCTCTGCCATTGTTGTATACAGTCAGTAGAGCATCACTTGTTGGACCAGGTTCAAGTCCTGGTACTACCTCTTACCTGTTGAACCTCAGAGCAAGTTAATTTCTTCAGGCCTCTGTAGAATGGGAAGTGTTCACAGAGCCTTTACTGGTGGTCTTAAGGGCAGAATAAGCCAACAATATAGCTACACATGGATGTTGTCTGTAATTCCCACTTGGCCAAATCAGGAGGTACTCTGAATGAAGTACTGGGCTTCCAGCACCCACACTTACCCTGTGTCTTAGCTGATAAGGACACCAGCTCCCAGAGAGAGCGTGAGCCAGCTGGGATTTCTTTCCCCCATCAGTGAACTCTCCATTCCCAGAAGAGTTAAGTGTTCGAATTGTCCTGCTTGGCACCCACAAACTGTTCCAGAGCCACACAAGACCAAGAGTCTGGCCCCATTGAGCCCTGAGACAAGGTGGGTGGAGTAGCTGTCAGTATCATATGCCTCTTAGGACTGGTACTGGCCAGACCCACCCTGCCCTCTTAGGGCCTGCAGTCCAGCAGTCCAGAAGGATTAGTGCTATGGGTATTGTGGGACCTGGGAGGTCAAGAACAAGACCTGTGTACACAGGTGGCTCTTAGCCAGATTTGGGCCCACACTGTGGCAGTGCCAGGCTCCTGAGGGAACTGAAGGAGGGGAATAGGGAAGGTGTGGGTGGGGAAAGCCCAGAGTGCTCACCTAGCCACACACGCCTCACCCTGCCCTCTGCTCCTCCCTACAGATTGAGGCACTCCCTCCCGAGCTCTTCCAGTGCCGGAAGCTGCGTGCCCTACACCTGGGCAACAACGTGCTGCAGTCCCTACCCTCGAGAGTCGGGGAGCTCACCAACCTGACGCAGATCGAGCTGCGGGGCAACCGGCTGGAGTGCCTGCCTGTGGAGCTGGGCGAGTGCCCATTGCTAAAGCGCAGTGGTCTGGTGGTGGAGGAGGACTTGTTCAACACACTGCCGCCTGAGGTGAAGGAGCGGCTCTGGAGAGCTGACAAGGAGCAGGTCTGAGCACAGCCTGGAGCAGTCTTCAACCGGGACCCCAGTATGCCCTAAGACGTGGGCAGCCCAGACCTACCCTCCCAGGACTGCTGGGTGGCCCGCCAGGATCCACCCAGGCAGAGCCCAGGACAGGCGTGATCTGGGCCAGGACAGAAGACCGGAACTGAGGGGCTGGCCCCTTTTTTCCCTTTGAGACTCATGCCCCAGGGCAGGCCCTTGTTAGAGAGCCCAGGAGCCAGCCAGTCTTAGAGTGCAGTATTTGGACAATCATGGTCTCACCCTGGAGGCCGTCTCTGCCTCAGAGGCCAAGCCAGCACCAGAGGCCCAGGGACAGCACTGAGCCTCTTGGTCTATTTTTGCCCACCTCCCATCCCCTCCAGATAACTTACACATTCCCAAGAAGGTTGGGCTCCGTGGGAGGTGTCTAAGCAACATGGGGGTGTTCCCCTTTTCCTTTCCAGGTGATGCTGACAGAACTAAATGCCCACCCAAACCTGGGCAGAGTGGGCAAGCCAGCTGCAGGACGGTTGCCCTGTTGGCACTGGACTGTGACCTCTGGCAGCAAAGCCTGTGGGAAACCAGGCCTCCGGTGCAAAGGCCAGGCCTGGGGCTTACCCCGTTTGTTTCTCAAGCAATTTTAGATTTTTTTTTTTAAGTCAAACAATTTTTTTAAAGCTTTGAAAATGATGGTTTGGGTATTAAAAAGAAAAA